TTTTGGTTTTTCTCCAGTACCGGGAACCGAACTCACGACCTTGCGCTTGCCAGGCAGGCGCTTTTGCCGCTGAGCTAAATCCCCAGCCCCTTCTTATGGGTTTTTGTGCATTTTCTTTCATAATGTCATCATGATTTTACTGTGTTAGATTTGCTGAGTCCTAGCTTGTTTAAAATATTTACCTTGGTCACATTTAAACTGCTGCCATAGTTCTGGGGTGTCAAGAAATGTCTACCATCCTCTATTTAAATTATAGAAAAGGGTAGTGGATGTCTCTCCCACATTAAAAAAAATCACTAGTTTTTTTTTTTCTTTCTTTGTATCAGGAGCTGAACTCAGGACCTTGTGTGTGCCAGGCAGGCACTGCGCTGCTGAGCTATCTACCTGGCCCATCACTAGCTTTTTGAGATACACGGCCACTATACCTGGTATGTCTCAGCAAATTAGTAGATACTTGGTTTTGTTTTTTCTTTTTAAAGCACACAAGTGGCCCAGCTTTTAAATCTTGAGTTACTTTCCTTCTTTTTTTTTTTTTTTCCTTTTCATCCCCCACTATAAGCTTTCAGAGCAGAAGAATAAAAACCATGCATTACTGAACACCTAACTGGCTGGCATGTCTCCTGTTTTTACCCTATACATTTTGCTGAATGAAACAAAGGATAGTTTAGGTGTAATTATTCAAAACAATCTAATGCAGTAGAAATGTAGCATAGTAGCGTAGTACAAGCATCTCACTTTTGAAAGACCCAAATTCAAATTTGGATAATCTTCAAGTTCTTGAATTCCTAAGGAGCACATTGTGTTATTCCCTGTGTATATTTTAACCTAAATCATGTTGGTGTGAGTTATCAATTTGTTTGGAAGACCCTAGCTGAGAAGAGTTTTTGATTTTAAGGTGTTTATATACATATATATATTTACATCTAGTGTTTCGCCAAAAAAAAAATTCAACCTATGAAACTCAGAATAAAACAGAGGCACAATGTTTCATGACCTTGGAGTAGGCAATGGCTTGTGTGATATGATACCAAAAGTATAAGCAAAGAGAGAGAGAAAAGCTGACCTAGACACCAAAGTATAAAATTTTACATTTCAAAAGATGTCAAGAAAGTACATCCCAGAACAGAAGAGTTTTTGCAAAAAATGCAGTCAGCCCTCCATGTGTGCTCCCTGCTGGTTCCAGTCCCCATATAAACAGTCTAGTATCTGCATGTAACTTATACAATCCTCTCATATACTCTAAATAATCTCTAGATTACTTACAATACCTACTATAATATAAATCCTATGTAAACAGCTGTTACCCTATATTCTTTAGAAAATAATGACGGGCAAAAAAGTATATTCATATTCACTACAGATGCATTTGTTTGAAATCATTTTGATCCACAGTTGAATCGATAGATATAGAAGGTTGAAACATTATGAAAGCGACCTTTACCTAGAATAAAGAACTATTACAACTCCACAATAAAAAGACAAAGATCTAATTTTAAAAACAGCCGAAGGGTAGAGTTCTCCAAAAGATATACAAACAGCCAATAAGCACATGAAGAGATACACAACATCATTAGTCACTGAACAAATGCAAATTAAAACCACAGATACCACATCACATTCACTAAGAAGGTTAGAATAAAAAAGATATAATAACAAATGTTGGAGAAATCTGAAACCTCATACACTGCTGACAGGAATAAAAAGTTATATAACCATGTTGGAAAACAGCCTAGCACGGTGGTG